TCCTTTGAGACACTGCACCAAAAGTGATTTTCATCTTTAATGACAGTTAATTACAGAAAATCAAAGGGAGGTTTTGAAAAGTAAAGAAAATATAATCAGGAATAGTATATATTCATTTGGCATTATTTAAATAAGCTATGTTTTTCTTAACAGCTCTTTTTTTTCTGGTTCTTTTAGTATTTTGCCACCTCTTTATTTTGTCACAGATGTTTTATTTTTTAAGTGGATAAATTTCATAGTTTTCATAGACTAAAAATTTTAAATATAAGATAAACAAAAAGGCTACCTACTAAATGGGAGGAGATATTTGCAAATGCTATATCTGATAAGGAGTTAATATCCAAAATATACAAGAACTCATACAATATCAAAAAAACCCCACCCGGTTAGAAAATGGGCAGTGGATCTGAATAGACATTTTCCAAGGAAGACATACAGATGGCCAACAGGCACATGAAAAGATGCTCAACATCACTAATCATCAGGGAAATGCAAATCAAACTCACAATGAGGTGCCACCTCACACCTGTCAGAATGGCCATCATCAAAAAGACAACAAATAACCAGTGTTGACGAGGATGTGGAGAAAACGGAACCCTTGTGCATTCTTGGAGGGAATGTAAATTGATGCAGCCACCATGGAAAACAGTATAGAGAGTCCTTAAAAAACTAAAAATAGAACTACCATATGATCCAGCAATCCCACTTCTGGGTATTTATCTGAAGAAAACAAAAACACTAATTCGAAATATGTACCTCTATGTTCATTGCAGCATTATTTACAATAGCCAAATTATGGAAGCAACCCAAGTGCCTGTCAATAGATGAATAGATTTAAAAATGTGATATATATATGTATACATTATATACACTACATATATTATATATATATATAATGGAATATTACTCAAACACACACACACACACACACACACAAGAAATCTTGCCGTTTGTAACAACATGGATGAACCTGGAGGGCGTTACGCTAAGTGAACTACGTCAGACATAGGAAGACAAATACTGTATGATTTCACTTATATGTGGAATCTAAAAAACAAAAGAAATGAACAAACATAACAAAAGAGAAATATATTTATAGATACAGCAAATAAACAGGTGGGTGACAGAGGGAAAGAGGGTAGAAAGAGGAAAGAAATAGGTGAAGGAGATTAATAAGAGGTACAAACTTCCAGTTGCAAAATAAATTCCGGGTATGAAATGTACAGTGTAGGGAATATAGTCAATAACTATATAATATTATTTAGGGTGACATATAGCAACTGGACTTGTCATGGTGATCGTTTCAAAGTGTGTAGAAATTCCAAACCACTATGTTGTGAAACAGCAACTAACATAGTGTTGCAAGTCAATTATACTTCAAAAAACAAACCAACAAACTTACAGAAAAAGAGATCAGATATGTGGTTACCAGAGCTGGGGGCTGAGTTGAGGGGAGAATACGAAGAAGGCGGTCAAAAAGTACAGACTTCCAATTACAAGATCAGTAAGTACTAGGAATGTAATGTACAACATGATAAATATAATTAACACTTCTGTATATTATATTTGAAAATTGTTAAGAGAGTTAATCCCGAGAGTTCTCACCACAAGAAAAAAAAATATTTTCTATTCCTTTTGTTTTGTACCTCTATGAGATGATGATGTTCACTAAACTCATTGGGATAGTCATTTCATGATGTAAGTCAAATCATTAGGCTATATACCTTAAACTTATACAGCGCAGTATGTCAACTATATCTCAATAAAACTGAAAGAAAAAAATAAGGTAAACAACTATAAAAAGAGCAAAAGATTCACAAGGCTGAAAGACAGAGGATATGCTAGCTTCTTTCTTGAAAAGTAAACATATCAAACAGAAGTAAATGAAAATTTAATACAAAAAATGCACATTTCGAACTGAAAACAAAAACTCACTATACTAACTATAAAAGCAGGAAATGTGTTTAGGTAGCCTCTTACTGAGTAAAGATTCCTCACATCCTTCCTTCCCTTCCCATCACTCCCCCTCCCCTCCACACACACGCCACACACACACAGGCAATTCTTTCCATGAACCGAAGATGCGGTGAAGAGAAAGGTCTCTAGTCATTTCCCATGAAAAACAGAATTCCCACTTTTAGCTCCCTCCTCGAAGCTAAGGCGTCAGAATCTCCAGAATGCCCATGCTAAAATACAGATATTACAGCTGGGAGGGTAGAACACTTCACTCACCATTAACAACTCTTTCATAACTTGGTTCTGCTATTGTCTCCCTCTGTGGAACTGAGAAATTTCCATAAATGTTCTAAATCTGAATCCCTTCATTGGTAAACAATGGATATTTACACAACAATGCATGTTCCATATAGTCACTGGGGAGGTGGTATGAAATGATGTCTGTAAAGGGTTTACTTTGCATCATGCCTCCTGAATTGTACAAGGGGCCCAATAAACAGAAGCTGCTACTTCTCTGATGATTACGATTATTCCCATTAGCTAATGGGAAGGAGGGAGTCCCAAGCTGGCTCAGTCAGAGACATCGTTAGAAGGTGGAGAGAAATGCAAAGATGAAAGCAGTGGAAGAAGGGCAGTCTGAGGGCTCTCAGTTCCCCCACTACAGTGGGGGAAGGAAAAAGTCTAAGATAAACACCTCTTCTTGGTCAAGTTTGCCTGTAGACAGGCCTGACTGTTGACTCATTTGCCATCCCCACAGACGCCACAGTCTCCAGACCGGTGGGCAGGTGTCCTAGTCTGTTTGGGGCACTAACAGAAATACGAGAGGCTGGGTGGCCTATAAGCAACGAAAATTTATTTTTCACAGTCCTGGAGGCTGGGAAGTCCGAGATCAAGGTGCTGGAAGATTCAGTGACTGATGAAAACCCCCTTCCTTGTTCACAGACCTCCTTCTAGCTGTATCTTCAAATGGTGGAAAGGGCAAGGGCGCTCTTCTGGGGTCTCTTTTGTAAGTGCACCAATCCCATTCACGAGGGCTCTACCCTCATGATCCAAGCACCTCCCAAAGGCCCTACCTCCTCATACCACCATCTTGAGAATTAGGTTTAAACATAGGGATTTGTGGGGCACATAAACATCAGTCTAGAGCAGTGGAGCTATAGTAAAAGGAGACCTGTACAAATACAGAGCATCTGGATAATTTCAACTCCTTGGGCCACTTCCTGTGACATGTTAAAGTTGTACTCTTTCACCCAGGGTGCTGTTGAATTTTGCTTGCCTTTTTCATCTTTTAGCTCTTGATAGGAAAAAGAGTTGAGGGGACAGAAAGAAAGAGAAGGATAAAAAGAATAAAGACAACTTTTAGACCCAAATGTTTTGTGCTTAGCGTTCACTTTTTCAAGATTCACCCAGGGATTCATCCCAGGCTCACAGCTGGTGTTCAGCCCGGTACCTTGTGCTCCGCAGAAACACCAGCCTTTGGCTGTGATGGACAGAGTGCACTTTTGACTCTACCGTTACATAAAGTCTTTGGACACTCTTTGCTTATAATCGAGGGGCCAAGTAAGAACTTCCTGACTTCCAGTTCCTGGACTTGAGGCAGCATTTCTTCACTGAGAGTGTTCCAAACTTTAATAATCATTATACAAGCTGTCAATCAGGGTAAGAAAGGCTACATCAAACAAAGCCAAACAGGTCCCTTACGGCAAGACTGCTTAGAGCCTTTAAAGTGCTCACAGAGAACAGAAATTCCCCAGAGAGGTACTTCCTTGAACGTTCAACACTTTTTGCACAGAGCATTTCACGGAATTAGCAGTCTCCTAAACATTTGGGGAAATGCTTGCAGAAGCCCCAAGATGGTTTTACATCCTGATTTGCTCTTTTTGTCTTAAATTACTTAGATTTGGTAACGCAACTTCATATTATCTACTTATAGGAGGAATTTAGAAACCCTATAATCATTCTTATATGATTAAGAATGCTGGTATGATGTTTAGGATGCAGGGCTCCAGATCTTTAACTAAAGCCACAAGTCCTTGAGAGATACAGAGAGATGGACAACTCATACAAAATCACACATTTCTGTGAAAGTCTTTTTCACAAACTCCACTGTAGACCCTTGAAGATTAAGGCCAGAAGTTACACTGGGACTTGGAAGAAAGTTAGGGTGATTGGTTCTGTCCCTAAACATATTCTCCCGAAGTGGTACCTTTCCAGACTCTGTGGAGAAGGTGATCACAGGTGGGTACCACTTCTGTGTGTTCTTTCCCACCACTATCCCACAGAGCAGAACTGATGCATCTAGATTTGGCTGGAAGGTGTGGGCTCAGGGAAAAGTTGTGGCTTTGCCTAGGTTGCTGGCTAACATATCAAAGAATAGAATAAATTTATGTCCTGAGGAATCAGGGAGCATGGTTCCCAGATGCAAGCAATTTCTCCAAAGTCTCCTCATGGTGGACAAGGGTTGATTTTGCCCACAATCCTCTCCTTCTTCAGTTATAAGAACGTGTTTTATTTTCCTTTTAGATACCTCTGTATCTTGGGGGACAAGACACTCTAACACTATTGGAAAGCAGGTTACTTTAGCCAATATAGATTTCCTCTGTCCTGTGGATAAAATCTGGGGTCCCAGCCAACACGGGGACCTAAGAGTGGGAAGCTCTCTCTCCCCTTTGGAAAGAGTAGATGCCATGGGCCATAAGCCTGGGGAAAAGACCATCATTGCCATCAGAGCAGAGATGGCCTTCTTGCAACTGAAGCCAACACAGAGGAAAACAGACTTGGAAGATGAAAAAGTAATGATTCCTGATGACAGTGTTAGGCCCCTTGGATGCAGCTATATCGCTGAAATATGGCCCCCTAAAGTTTCAGATTACAGAAGCAATAATGTCTCTTCTGCTTAAGCTATAGTTTGATTGAGTTTCTAAAGCTTCAATAAGGAAGTGACTGAGTAATCCACTCCTATTCTTAAAAATTCATGCAGAATTTGCATTCTCCTTCATAATACATCATGTTTATTAAAAAAATATATATGTTAAATTATTTACCTTTGAGTAAAGTTGACTTTCCCAGAAGATGCGCCATGTTTATACAGTGTCTTCTTACCCCCTGGCTCACTGCTGAGGACCCCAGTTTGGGGTTGCCTGGTTGCGGAACAAGAACGCAGTAGTGCCTTCTTAGTTCTTTCAGTCTTAACTATCCTGAAGGCAAAGAAAGGAAAAGTCAAAGAAGATGAAGAATTACATCCTAGGGAGGCTTAAGCATTGACTCCCAGCCTCCTTTGCCTGAAACCCCACTGACTGCAATATGGCTGAATTTACTGAGCCCTTACCGTGTGCCACATGCTTTATACGTATTATCTTAGTTCTCATGACATCTGAGGTGGTTACAATTATTATCTCTAGTTTATAAATGAAAAAGTACTGAGATTCACTCAGGTTTAAAAACACTGTACAAAGATTACAAACCTAAGAATAGAGCCAGAATCAAAACCTAGACAAATCTTCATCACCATCATCATCATCATCGTATTATGTTCCAGGCACTGTTCAAGGGTTTGACAAAAATAACTCATCATTTAGATAGTATTATCCTTTCATTAAAAATGGAGAGATGAAAGTTAACTGATCTGCTTAAAAAGTCACAGTGAATATGTTCCAAAACCAGATGGTCTTGCTCCAGAGTCTGCAGATTTGCCCAATGTACTATCTTCGTTACTTGGCCTGGATGAAAAGGAACAACAGTGCTTCCTTCCAAGGTAGGAGGCTCCAAGACCCTCATGCCATCTCACCCACGTAAGAAGCCAGAACTTCTAAGAAACCAAAACGATCATAACTTCCCATTGAAAACTAAAGGTGAGAAGCAGAAGACTTGCTACGCAAAACCCCAGCTGTCCCTATATCACACTCAAAGTTGTACCTTCTAAACTGTGGCCTGATACATGCCTCTGAATTGATGGAGGCATAGCAAGCTCCTCTTGTGGGTAGAGTGGAAAGGGGCAAGTAGGTGTACTTGTTCCCAATTGCTTCTGTAACAAATTATCACTAACTTAGTGGCTTAAAACTACTCACATTTATTATCTCATAGTTCTGGAAGTCAGACATCTAAAATGGGTCAGTACGGCTGTGCTCCTTCTGGAGACTCTAGGCCAGAATCTATTTCCTTGCCTTTTCCAGCTTCTAGAGGCTGCCCGCATTCCTCGGCTTGCAGTCCCTTCCTCCATTTTCAAAGCCAGCGGTGTAGAATCTTCGAGTCACCTTGATTCACCTGTCTCTCACTTTCACTTGTAAAGACGCTTGCAATTACATTGGACCCACCTGGAGAATCCAGGCTAACATCTCAAGGTTCTTCGTCACATTTGCTATGTAAGGTATCATATCCACAGGTTCCGGGGATTAGGACCTGGTTACCACAGTAGGCAGAGGAGGTTTCAGCATCCCCAGAGGCCAACAGACACTGCTTCTAGAAAATAATTTCAACTTCATGATGTCAGTGTTCAATCTAATCTCTCTACTCCAACTCTGGATTTGGGGTGGAACCAGCAGGCCCTGTGCTCAGTCTGGGAGGGAACTAAGACAAAGGGGTGGAGACAGTTCGCACAATGATCCCTGTCTCTTCTAGGCCAAAAGTCACATTGCCTTTTAACCCAGAGCATTGCCACTTACGGTTGCCAGGATGCAATCAGCTGCGGGAATTAAGTTCATCTGCTACATCCAGAATAAGTTTCCACAGGTCTCCTTTAATAACTGTGTTTTTAAAGCACTATATGAATAGTGATTATTTCCTTGCTTAGGTCGGAGATCACTGTGCTTTCCACGCTTCATAATAGTAAGTGATTTATTTATTTGCTTGCTTTCTTGGATTCCCTCCCAGGTCATGTTGAAATGGGCATTATCAGATTTTCCCAGTCTTTGTTTTCTTTGCTATTAGAGAAATGGAACAGAAATACCCAGTTTTCTTTTCAGATACTTCTTAACCAATTGACTTCACTCCTATAATAAAAAAAAAAAAAATTAAATCTATGTTCATTTCAGTCTTGCATACAATTCTGAGATCTTTTCCCTCCCTTGAATTTTGGATTAAATGAAAGCATTCATGGGCCAATTTAGGCTTTTGTTAAGATTACAGACAAATTATATACATTCTGAATGACTAACAGGAAAAAAAAAAACAAAAACCAAAAAACTCTCCCTACCAATACATTGGGCTGGGGAGAAGAAAAACCCTACATTTAAGAATGCCATTGGGGCTTCCCTGGTGGCGCAGTGGTTGAGAGTCCACCTGCCGATGCAGGGGACACGGGTTCGTGCCCTGCTCCGGGAAGATCCCACATGCCGCGGAGCAGCTGGGCCTGTGAGCCACGGCCGCTAGGCCTACGCATCCGGAGCCTGTGCTCCGCAGCAGGAGAGGCCACAACA